GGAGAGGGAGGGAGGGAGGGAGGGAGGGCCCAGAGAGAGAGAGAGAGAGAGAGAAGAGAGAGAAGAGAGAGAGAGAGAGAAAGAGAGAGAGAGAGAGAGAGAGAGAGAGAAGGAGAGAGAGAGGCAGCCGCAGCATGGCCGCCTGGAACTCGCCGTACGAGACGACGCCGTCCGCCTAGAGACGCAAGCCTCGGGGCCTACCTCGGCCGTCGCTTGCGCCTCCCTCTCGCGCCATCTCGGGGCGACTCTCGCATTTGAGTCAAAGGAGCGGAAGAGCTGCTCCGAGTCGCGCTTGCGCAGGGCGCACTGGCGCGCCACGGTGGCCAGCAGCTGCTCCGCCCACTCGGGCGCCTGCCGCACCTCGGCCGCCGCGTCGGCAGCCTCGGCGGTGACGTCGCGGTACGTGACGTGCAGCCGCGCGAGCAGGGAGGAGGTTGGCAGCTGCGTCTGGCCCTGGCCGAGCAGCGTCGCGGCGAGCGCCTTGAGCGACGCCTCGGGGATACCCATCGAGTGGTCGACCAGCACCTGAGGACGTGTCGCGGACGTGTCGCGGACGTGTCGCGGACGTGTCCAGCCCGTCGAGTCGACGAGCGCCTCCACGAGCTCCTCATACGTGACCACGCCGTCCTCGTTCGGGTCGAAGAAGGCGAGTGTGCTCTTGAGGTCCTGGGGAAGAGGCCGAGGGGAGGTGGAGAGGAGGCCGAGGGGAGGCCGAGGGGAGGCCGAGGGGAAGCCGAGAGGAGGCCGAGATGGGGCGATGGTCAGGAGAGAGCCCGATGTGTGCCGAGGGGCGAGGTGGGGTTGCGGTCCTTGTGGGTGAGCGCATCGTGCAGCGACGAAAGCAGGTCTGCCTGCCACCCCTCCTGCTCGTGGGCCACGCGGTAGCGGCCGAGGAAGAGGCGGAAGCGCACGGCGTCGTCCTACAGCCGGGAGAGGGGTGTGTGGGTGGGGGGGGGGGGAGATTGTGGGAGATTGTGGGAGATTGTGGGGGACTGTGGGGGACTGTGGGCGGCGGCGTCCTCGTCGGGGGATTGTGGGAGATTGCGGGAGATTGTGGGGGAGATTGCGGGAGATTGCGGGGGAGATTGTGGGAGATTGTGGGGGAGATTGTGGGAGATTGTGTCCTCGTCGCTGAGCAGCGCCGCGTCGCCGACGAGCTCGGTCAGGAAGTCGTCCCACGGCAGCGGGGTCGGCACAACCTGAGGTGAGGTGAGGTACACTTCTCCTCACACACTTGCTAGTTGGTGGAGGAAGGGCCCAGGCACAGCCCTACTGACAGGAGCCCCACGGCATTGAAAGTGCAAGGCCCGGTGCGCGTGGGTGAGTTGTGTGTGTGTGTGTGTGTGTGTGTGTGTGTGTGTGTGTGTGTGTGTGTGTGTGTGTGTGTGTGTGTGTGTGTGTGTGTGTGTGTGTGTGTGTGTGTGTGTGTGTGTGTGTGTGTGTGTGTGTGTGTGTGTGTGTGTGTGTGTGTGTGTGTGTGTGTGTGTGTGTGTGTGTGTGTGTGTGTGTGTGTGCGCGTGTGTGCGTGCGTGCGTGCGTGCGTGCGTGCGTGCGTGCGTGCGTGCGTGCGCGCGCGTGTGTGTGTGTATGCGCGTGTGTGTCTCACAACCTCGCGCAGCCCGCCGATCGCCGTCTCGCGCGTGATGACGTCGCTTCCGCCCGCGTGCTGCTCGTAGAACTGCGCCAGCGCCGGCTTGTGCTCGCAGACGAGCTCCTTCATCTTTTGCAGCACGTCCGCGCGCATCAGCTCGTTGGCCTGCGCCGAGAAGGACTTGCGCTTCTCCGACGGGTTCTCCTTTGGCGTCGACGGCGCCTTCTCCGCCTCCTCCTCCGCCTCCATGACCAATAGCTCAGAGACTGTCGGCGCCCAGTGCTCCATCAGCTGGTAGTCGAGCGCCGGCGTGAGCAGCATCGTGCCCCCCGTGTTGCCGATGCGGCCGCAGTAGTTTGAGGCGGAGAAGATGGTGACGAGTCGCCCGGCGTGCTGCACCTGCGGGGAGATGTGGGGAGATGTGGGGGGGTGTGGGGAGATGTGGGGAGATGTGGGGAGATGTGGGGGGGTGTGGGGAGATGTGGGGAGATGTGGGGAGATGTGGGGAGATGTGGGGAGATGTGGGGAGATGTGGGGAGATGTGGGGAGATGTGGGGAGATGTGGGGAGATGTGGCGAGATGTGGCGAGATGTGGCGAGATGTGGCGAGATGTGGCGAGATTTGGCGAGATGTGGGGAGCCGCTGGTCACACCTGCACGCCCGAGAGCGACTTTGGCACCTCGTGCGAGCGTATGACCATCCGTAGCCGGTTGATCTCGCAGAAGCGGCGCGTGACGTCGGGTCCGAAGGTGGCGCAGCCGGCCCCGCGCACTCCGGCAGTGCGACGCCGTCGACGGCGCGCGGGTCCGCCCACATCAAATCAAAGAAGAGT